CGTAGCCACCATGAATATTTCTGAAATCTTCTACCACTCTACCGACATGTCCATTTAAATCTCTTCCAATAAAAATTCTTTCTTCAAGAGGTATCATTTGTATTAAGTCTTCTAAGTCATTCCAAAATTTATCTTTAGACTCTGTATCTAAACCTACTTGAGGAGCATAAACACTTATAATATTAAAAATCTTAGTATCAATGATAATCTTAAGGGCTATAATTCTATCACCAACTCTATTAATTTTTACAACATTATCTTTCAAACTCTTATCTATAATTACACCTACACCATTTCTAGTGCGACTCTTACCAGAATACCAAAGTTTAAAACCTAAATTATCAATCTCCTTAGCCTTTTCTCCAACCCACTTAGTTTCTTGAATACATAAGATATTAATTTTCCTATGAATCATAATATCAACTAATTCCATTAATTTACCATTGAGAGTGCCTATATTCCAAGATCCTATCCTAATATTAGTTTCATTAGTTTCATGGACTAACTTCTTTACCCGCATTCGCCCGTAATGTGGACTAACCGATGAATCTATCGAAACTAGAAATTGCATGATTGACCAAGACAGAAAAAGAGTTTAAAAACATGGTTATGTGCTTGCTAGCAGTGATTTGATTGCTGCATTGAGGCTTTAGATGATGAGTTTAAGCATTATCTGTCAAGGAGGTTATGATTCTTACCTAATTTGAAAAATTTTAGTTCCTAAATTAAAATATTATTGTTTTATGTTTTGTTGAATTGATTGGAAAAGCGTGTTTTCTTTTATTCTGATTGGTATAAATCTTCTATAAATTCCAATTGAAAGCAAGGTGCTTTTTCATCACTTGATATTTTTAGTGTAGACAAAAAAAATTGTTCTGATGGAAGCTGCATGGCTGCTTTGAATCCATCCAGACTCTTCACTAAATCCAGTTTTCAAACACAAATCTTGCTAAGGAAAGAATACATTTTTTTAATGCTTTCTAGCTGACCCAAATGCAAATACAACATCTGTTTCTTGCATTTTCTAGATGAAATTTTTTTATATGTATGGCCAGTTCCCATCATTCTTTCATTTTCTTTATTGGAATGACACTAATGGATAATTTTTTATCAGTAGAAAAATATAGTTTAGTGCTATCTTTTTCAGGTTGAAGCCATTACTCCCTCCTTTTGATTCTGCTGAAACACGGTCATTAGCGGAGGCTTTGTGCAGGTATGCGATTTCGGCAATTGCATCTGAGCTATTGCCATTATTCTCAATTAGTTAACAAATAAGTCTTTGAGATATTATTAAACACTGCTGTTTATTGCTCGTTTTTTCCAATTACAGAGATATTATTCGTGAAAATCTTGACGTTAAGTGGGAAACCATTAAGGGATTGGAGAATGCGAAACGCCTTGTTAAAGAAGCGGTTGTCATGCCCATTAAGTATCCGAAGTATGCAATATTAGTCACTTTATATGTTTGCTATTAATTTTAGGTGCATCTCAATGTTTTGCTCCCAGAAGAAAACATCCTTTTGCAATTCTACCTAAATGGACTTGCTTGCTATATCTGAAATCTCAGATTTATTGGTTTATTTCATATATATATATGGTCTGAATCAAATTTATTATTTTATCACCTAATGTACAAGTTCATGGTTCAAATATATCATTTACATATTTCGTTGACTTTTATTTGAAAAAACAGCTTGCCATGGGTAGTTTCATCTTATTTCATGATATCTTATGATATATTGATATGTCTGAAGTCATATAAGAGTGTATGTATTTGTTTTCCATACACTTTCTGCAGTCCTCAAAGTGGGCATCATCTACACAAGATTTTGTTGTGCCATATTAACTTGGGATGTTAAATAGAGATTTCAAAATTATTTAATTAATAAATACAAAATTTGGTATGAGATGTAACTTTTTCATCTTGGGATCCTTTAGAATAGGGCTGCAAAAAAAGCCAGTTGTTTGCAAACAACTTGTGTTTGGTTTGTTAAGTAGCTAGTGTTCAAATCATTTGTTAAGTAAGCGAGCCGAACACGAACAAATTTTGTAAGCTCAAATTATAAACGAGCCGAACACAAGCAACCCTTTGTTGGATTGCGTTCGACTTGTTTTAGCTTGAAATAACTAATTTATATATATTAATTATCTAATAAGATATTATATATATTTATATATATGTTTAATGTGGTTATGCGTTTGTTCACACATAATTGGTGCATGTTTGAATCCAACACCCTACATCTAATTTTTCTAATTAATTTAAACGATTCATTTTGAGCCGATCACAACACACTATTCACGAGCGATTTCAAACACGAGCCGATTTAGAATTGAGCCAAACACTGCCAAACATGAGCTCACTCAAGCTCAGCTTGTTTACAACCCTACTTTCGAGCCTGAAATTAATGGATTAGTCAAGAAAGGACCACCTTGCTGTGTTAAGGTCTAAAGAAATATATATATATA